AAGACAAATTTCTGTTAAATCAATTGAAAGTTCGTACTCTATTTATTAAGGTCTATATTTAGATGTTCAAATATTATTAACTCACAATACAGTGAATGTTACAGAAACCCTCCAAATTTGCGGTTGAACAGTTAGTCTCGAATGATACACCACGAACATCAAGTTTGACAGTCTGAAATGATAAAGGTAGCACAAGCCAATTTCTAGTTCCATGCCCACCTTATTGTTTAATGCAATAACTTAGAAAACGACAACAATTTTCATTCATTTTCGCATACATAGACCACTGTACGTGCCCAAACAGTGATAACCACCAAATCTCTCGTGAGAACGAAGCCGCTACTAGTCTCATTCATTCCAACTCATCGGCAGATATCTGTCAAACACTCTGAATGCCTGCGTGTAGAGTATTGTCACCAGCAGAGCCATGGATCTGATTGATCGTGAAAGTTGGTGATATGTAACATTGTATTGATTACAAGCGAAAGCTTGCCTAGGTATATTCACATTCGCTTTTTTCACATCCTCCTTAAAGTAGCATAAAGGCGTTTCTCAACATCTCACGGCTGTCGCACTTGACCTGTTCCTCAATTGTCATTGGCAGTGACCCAGAGGCTACGCGCCGCTACGCTTGTATGGCGTGCGTTACTTTCACGTCTCGAAGGCGTCTCACGCAATCCTAGTGGAAAAGTTGAGTGCCGATTCTCGTTTCTTACACCGGTTCTACGTTACGCCAGAAATGGTGGTGAAGGTCTATGTCACTGACCCTCGGATATTTATCGACTTAAATGGAATCACCTGATGATGCCGTCGGTGAGAGAAAACTTTGTATCCGGGTGAAATTTTTCAAGTGGTTTGATGAGCCTTGTTGTCCTAGTTGTTGAGGGCATCACGTTATGGAAATTCCGAATAGTAATAGATAAATTCGGTCAAACTGCGAGAGAGATGTTGACATTAACGATCTGTGAAGAGTGGCTTGTACATATGAGACAACGTATCATAATGATATTCTATGGCAAGAATATATGACAATATTAAGCGAAATAAGATAGGATTCCATATTTAGCTATTAAAATCTTACAAATTGTAGAACACAATCTTCACAAGATATGACCACCATGTAACACATTTTTAATTCTTCCCAGAAAAATATGTGTCACGGAAATTTGTCGATCGGGCTGTGCAGTTTATTATTTCTCTGTTGGTCTGCTATCCTCAACAATTTATACTTCGCAACTTGAAATAAGTAAGAAGAGCCTCAGCGCTTTGAGATGTGATTGGATTAAGCTAAAATAAGGTATCAAATTATAATAGCGGGTGATATCAAAGTTAGTTTCAGCGGTAGAATTTCAGTTAGAACCAGGTGCCTGGAGGTGACAAAAAAGAAATCAAGATATAATTATGGAAATCCAAGCAAGCTTGGTACACATATCTACGATTTCAGCATTTTTGGTCAATTTTGCGGCGCAGTTAGGTCTTCATATGGTTCTCAATTATAAAAGATCCTGTAATTTCTGTTGAGTTTTATATCTTAAACAATTTTTTTCAGTTACTACTAATTTCAGGTGGCTCAAAATTTTAAAATAGAACAAGGACGCTCGTTTCTTCAGAGATCTTCAACTGGCGATTTGTTTTAGTTGTACTTAAGCAATTAGTGTGGTTCAATACAGTTTTGATTCATTTTCTGAATATTGATGCAGTTTTTCAAACCTGATTTGACTTGGGATGTAGAGGATAATGTAGTTACCTTCACATACCTGAACACTTGGTTTATTTAAATACGCACATTCTTAACACCAGGTTCTATAAACATTAATACGTTCACAAAATTTGAGTTTTTCATTACATACTCTCGTTACTCTTTAGGACAAATGGTGTAGTAAGCTCACGGAACAATTTCAGATTAATTTTGTTCGTGATAAAACATATATTTTTTTAATACTCGTCTGTCCGATATTGTCAAATAGACAATCTATTGCGATTCAAAAATAGTCGCCGAACAGTTCTGATGCTTTTAACACTTCAGACGTTTTACCTTGTTCCAAGGCTTGTAATAATAAAATAATATATTATGTGACCTTTCTTCAGGTCAGGCAAGTTTTCTCAGTAATTTTACACAGAAGACCAGGATAAAAAGTTCCTAGGCCTCTAAGTTAAATGGGCCAGTCGTGCCCCGCCTCCCTTCCCTTCTCCTTCTACTCCTCTTCCGTAGAACGATATGATGTTTTAAGGTACAATTATGGTCAATGTCCAAATTGGGCGCCGCGCGTTCAGATTAAGCTAGCTTATAAACAAGTCGCAATTGAAGCATTCTCACATTCCTAGAACAATAACTTAGTTATAAATTTGACGTTAGTTTAGTGTGAGCATCTTCAAGATCCTTTTGATGTTCTGCGAGTCTCTCCCAACGTCGTCCACAATGTATCGTTCAGAACTGCATAGGCTTGCTTACGTAAATCGTGTAAAACCCATCTGAGTGGACACAGTAGAAGACATTGACAGTAACCACATCTTGCATATTTACGAAGAACGAACTCGTGTTTTTGATTCGAACAAGCACTATTCACATATATAACATTTGGCAGAAGACAAGAATAGTTGTTCCAAACGTGGCTGTCCCTGTAAAGGAAAGTCTTCTCTATCAAGACACCCTACCCTGTATATACCGAAAGTGAATGTAATTGACCATCAATTGAAAACCTTACTCTTTCTCCGGTAAACGGTTCAGCAGCTTCGCTAACAAGATCTGAGAAGAGAAAGGTATAAATATTGGATCGCGATGAACCCCGAAGAGATGTTACGATAAGAAAGGAGATTGTTGGCTAACCTTTGCTAGAAAGGTAATACTTTCTTTTCCCACTGTCGAAAAACGAGATTTCATACTCACGCATTACGCACAGCTCAGTTTTATTAGTTACGGTTCGAAACACCGTTGTAACGTACGATTATAATATATCCTTGATGCCTCTTATAATCTACGGTGTTCCTGTACTTTGTACAGTAGTTAGTCTTAACTCTCATTTACAGAATCCCAGGATGGTTTCAAGAATCACGTACATGCATATTAATGTTCCCTATTCTCAAAGTTTCCATGTGCGAGATACATATCAGGCCAGATATGCATGCTAAAGGTTCTAATTTTTTAATCAAATTTATACTTGGTCGGTACGTCGGTTCCTGATGTTTTAGTTTTTGATAAATTTCACATTTCGGACCTCCTAGCAAATAGTGGAGTCAGGTTGTCTTGGAATTGTACACGAGCAAAGTACACTTTATAGTGTATGAATGTCTGCAAAGCTTATATTTGACTGATATAGTTCAGGAACTTTCTTCGTATATGTTAGGCGCGTTCGACTCAAAATCAAAAAATAAAAGTTGATAACAACAATAGCTCCTAAAATGTTTTGGAATTTCATTGATGAATATTTGAAGAGCATTTAGGAACTTTGGCAGGTCGAAAATGGTTTATTTGACACTTCTTCAGATATTATACGGCTTATACCTAAGAAGCACATATCAACTTTAAAGAAAAATGTATAATTGTTTTGTTCAGATGATCCAAAAAACCTATAAGAATTTTGTCCGGAGCAATTTTTGGAGTTTCACGCAAAAAGACCGAACCAGAATATTTTTTCTATCAGTTGCGAAGATGCTACGGACTGTTATTAATTTTGCAACAACATTAAGTGTGGTCTTTGAGTATAGATTGAAATGAAGTTAGTCAAAAATTGGGGATCTGTCTACTGAGGTGTCAGTTAATGTTGAAATGCCATAACCACGATTTCGCGACTTTCTATCTATAGATAATCCAAGATCAACTACAAATAGAAACAGGTGCTCGTTTCGCTGCTTTATCTCATGTCCGATATATATGAATCAGGGAGTTTAATCGATCGTTTTCATTTGAAACGGATATAATAATCAACATGTCTTCGACTTCCTTTTATTAATAGGGATTAAGTTCGTACACCTCGACATTCTTCTCTGTGCGCATTTATTTCCGAACCGGATATGAAATAGAATGTAAAATTGAAAGAACGAATAAGCAAGCATATATTCATAGTGTGATCAGTTTTGTGTGATTAACATGCCGCAGATAACACTGAGAAGACATACGTCATCTTACCTAGCAAGTTTGACAGGATTTTTTTATGTGTGTACGAGTTAAAATTATTCTTTTCTAATAATGTGTTTTTAACTAAAGTACGTTTGCAATCTATCTGATATTCAACTTGTTAATCAATGTGAATGCAAAGTTAGTGTTTTTATTTTTTTTCTGGGTAGATTACTGAAGATGGGAACAGTTTTTTTTTGAAACGTCTACAATTTTATAACAGGATCTGTGTTACATCCAATACAATTAACAAGTAAATGAGATTTCCGGTAGAACTACTCTAGACAGCCTGTAAAAAGGAGTTTGGTAACCCTTATTCTGCAAAGGGCGGAAATTCGTAGTGGATTATGAAAGAATCGTTAGTTCAGACTATAACACTGCAGTACATTCCCAAGAAGCATCATTTTGTTCTTGTTTTTTCATGTTATATTCGTTAATTTGTTTTTCACAGCTGACCTAAAGGATGTTTGTTATCCCTTGGAACGTATGTTGTATTTTATTCGATAACCCTAAATAAGGCGGAAAATAAATGTCAAAATTCCAATAATTCGAAGAAATTAAAAGTACTGACTCTGGTATAAGAACTTACTTACTTTGTCTTCCAATTTTCATTTATCACATATCCTTCGACTTTTTAACGATTAGCGCATACTGATTCATTTCATGTAATTCAGCATACATCCATCCAACAAACTAGAATCGGTATCGTATGGCTGATATGTAGTAAGTCCCTAACACAAGTAGGAGAACATCTTCAGTGGTACATATTGTATCTTAGCACAGTGACAGTGCTTTTACTCATCATCAGTTATTCATATGCATCAACAATAACACTCTATTTATTAAGGAAGACATACTCTAATCACGACATCCTTGTTTCTTACAGGTACACAACGAAAAACCTACAATAGAGGAATCTCTATTTAAGAAACTGAACCTGAAATGCTCTAATCACGACGTCAGCTCGTGCATGATGCTCAAGTTGGTCACCTACTTCAACAAACTGATGAAGAAGTCCAACATCGAGCTAGGCGACGTGGAAATCACCCAGACCTCATCTGAGACTGTAAGCGTAGAAACTTCGAGGAGTTTCAACGACATTGAGAAAATGACTGAGGAGGAACAGCTCGCTGAGGTGCTCACCAACAAGGCGTATAACTTCATCAGGACAAGATCGTTGAAGTGGAGGGTAATTTTTTTTGATATTGACAGTTTGCATACTAGTACTCACAGGAATCATGTGAAGCAAGTATGAAATATAATTATTGAAACAATTCACGTTTTAAACTATAATCTGTGAAGCTCCAAAATGAGGCACATCGCAGAATGTCTGTTCCAAAAATGGGGTATCGTAATAATACCCAACAGACTTTTGGTTTATGTATAGGAGTTAAACTTTATTTCACATCAAAGTTCGGAAGCACTTAAGTATGCTGAACGGGTTGCTTACCACTAGTCTGCCACAGACGCGTTTGATTTCAGTTTAAACGCAATCTGACATGATTTCGACTAATGGACTAAACAGGAAATACCTGTTAACAGTCGTGGAATGTACTGAGGTACCGCTTGCATTTCATTCAAAACTGATTTTTTCATAGGTTCTTATGACAAAGCTTCTAACATTATTTCAATTTTCACCAGAAACAGATTTATAGAAACATTAAAAAACGGATCATATACAACTCCTGAGGCGCTAAAACGTTACCTTGAAAGAAGAAAATTCACCGTCCACGTACAGTCTGATTTGGTTGCTACAAGTGTTTCAATTTTTAGCTGTGTTCGTTAGGCCAAAACAGGCTTTTGTTTTCACAGATTTCTCTTAAGTTAAACCGTATCCTATGCGTACGTCCTCATGACGACGTAGGTATTGGTATTACATCAAAAATAACAACTTCTTACAAATGAAGCTAAACGCATTTGGAGTAGGCTGACTAGTTTAATATTTTTCCTGCTATCGATCTCTTGTAAGTACATTTCCAGCATGACGTGGCCTCTTCAAATTCGAAATATGTCTGTACTGTTCGGTGAAAAGCTTTTCTGTATATGCTTAGACTAATTTACCCTCTCTGCCTAATTATTCAGTAGGTAGCAGGGGTGATGGAACAAAGACTCTTGTATACCTATGGAAGTATACGACACCGCAAGCATTGATTGATTGATGAGCTTCAAGAACATGAAACTTCCACTAATTCCTAATTCCATAAACAAAATCGACGTAATCCATCCTACAGAAGACGCCCTGCTAAGGTGTAAGCATCTCATGGAGCAGAGCAGTAATATATCATCTCAAATCTGTACGAGTATTTTGCTTATCCTCTGAAAGCTCATAAAAAATCGAAATTAAACGTATAACAAAGTAAATCGAGTCGAGATATTACTACGCGTTGCCCCAACATTTCAATTTGGAATCTTCGACAATTCAAAGCCAAGATTACTTGAAAGAAAAAATAACGTATATAGATGACATGTTTTTAATGTTGGCACGATCGATTTGCTCTTGATGACCTGAAATTGCCAAGATTGATCAATGAGCAAATATCTCACTAACTCATAGATATTGCCAATATCTGAACGTTTTATCGGCTCAATGGAGATTCCTAAAGTTCAGCATCATGCTATAGCCATATTTGCAAGAGAGTTTTTGGTTCACCAAGGCAGTGCTTTCTCCATATATCTAGAGAGCGCTAGTTTTTTTTGTCCGGTTATTGATGTTAATGACCAAGAAGATCTGGGCAATGTTGATATAAGAACAAACTGATGAAAAACATTAACGGCATTTGTAATAACGAAAAAACAATTGGAAAGAACAACCAGTAATTGATATCAAAGTCTATTCTCAACGTTAATAAATTATTTGTCATCATCGCGCTTAATTTCTAAGGTGAGAATAACGCTTCCAGCAGATCGACGGCACACTTCATTAAAATTCCGTAGCGGTTTAGATGGAAAAATTGACTTAAAATGAGTTTGGTCCAGTGGCTCTCGTAGTGCTGCAAAAACACAGTCACGCATTGTATCTACAATAACCTTACCTTCCACTGTATGATCATTAACCCTATTTGTTTTTATCAGCGTTGAAGGTCTAGGCTGGGTATTTACGGCACTGCCTGGCCAATAACATCAGTGATCGAATTATCTTCATTGCCCGTGACATATACATCACCAAAACATTATCAGTAACCTTTCCCATCATCTAGTGCTCAGATGCCTTGAGGTGTAATAATTATTACCTCACTCCATTTTCAAAAGTTGTATAACTTCCTTGTCCTGTCGTCAAATTTCTTCTATTTGAATGTCCTAGGCATACAATTGCTACTCTATCACTCTTCTTGCGAAGCTAATATATTTTTCCTTGATTGTACAAGAAGAAAAACTTAATACACTCACCTGTAGAAATCATTCACCTTATGAGCTACTGTAGAATTTCGTTGACTTAATGAGACAAAATCTCGCTACATTGTTTTCTTTAATCAAGTGAGAAAGAATAACACAGCCAACAGCCAATATTTTACATCAAAGAAATGGTCAGAGATTCTTGAATGAAGATCTGCTATTTATTCGACATATGTCTCTTGAGCCTGGGCATTAAGAAAATAAAGTTACTTTGTATCATAGCACCAGATTCAGGCTCATTCGAAGGCTTATTGTGAAATGACGAACAGAGGTAAAGTTTCGGCACCTTGTATTTATCTAAGCGATACGGTCATGTCCGCAATAAAGGAACAAGAGTAGAAATAGAACGATAGGAAATCCAAGCGACGTATATTTTATGCTTATTGGCTTCATCAGGCGCGAATGGATGTGCATCGAAAACACCTATTTCTGTTCCTGCTCCTTTATTCCGGACATGCCCACGATTGTCCTTTGCATCTAAGTTACCCCTTTGACTACTTGTCAGTCATTACTCATGGGCCTGAAGCACCACGGCAGGTAGCTACAGCTGGCCTTTGTGGCGGCATTGGTCGATACACTATAAAGACGACTGACTTAAGTCATTAATGCGCCTGCTGATGGCTCTTATTGGTGGCTTCTAGTTGGATTTGCCTTCCCATCCTTTCTTTGTTTCAGTTTCACGCGTGATGGGCATACGTTTCCACTTTGAGGTTTTCGATGCGTATGCATTTGGGCCTCATTGAGCTAATAAGCAGAAGCATACTTCACTGGACTTATCAATTCTTCTATTTCTGCTTCTGTTCCTTTATTGCGGATATACCCATGAGTGTTTTTTGTTTTTCACCGTTTCCGCAAGACTACTTGTTTTTCTTCCACTGTTAAAAGAAGTACACTACACTGAGGTCTGCTGCTATAGAGATAATGGACTCTCAGAGAATGCAGTGCAGGAATCCATTCCAAGGAAGAGCTCTGGCTTAAAGCACTGACAACCCCGTTAAAATTCCTAAAGTCAAAATGGAAGCTTCTGGCCACTCTTAAAATATTATGCACTACTTTTCTCAAAAATGTCTTGTAGACGTTTTTTACGATCTTGATATTCCACAATTCAAGATAAACAAAATATTTTTATCATGTGTCGCCTTGCGTCTTCTTCGTAGGGTCTTTCCTCATGCGAACTGCTTTTACAAGAATTTTTGAATAATTAATTTCACCTCGAGTAATTATGGCGCCGCCGGTGGTACAGATAACAATTATGCGACGTTCGAAATTTCTCCTCTGAGAAACTGGCTAATGACTGTCGGTTCTTAAACTAAAGGGAAAAGGGGTCGCGCTCTTCGTTTTCTCCGTTAACATCAGCGTAAAGAACCATACGGCGAAACCACAGATGCCGAAGCACACGCTCACCATATGGACCCCAGTGAAAAACTTAATTGCGGACAACAAGGGTACATGAGGACGGGTTCAGTATATATGAAACTTATAATGATCGAATTATACAAGGGCTGATCCAGAAATAAGTCATACTGGAAGGTACGAGGCGAAATCTGGCAACACCGCTGTGCACGACTGCTCCTCCACTTTTCGATTCTTGGCTCAACAGCCGTCTAATATGGAGGTTCTCATTTAATATCGCGCTATGTACGATATTTGTTCCATAATTTTGCACGCCAAAGGGACTCCACCCGTGGATATTCATCGTCAGTTGACAGAGGTATATGGCTACAACTGGATGTGAGATCAACACACAGCAAAAGTGATGCAGGAAGTTTTGTGTTGCTCGGTAGGAATCCCACGACGAAAAACAGGGTGGACGACTGTCAGTCTCGGAGGCGGCTGTCGAGGTTGCCCAACGCGAAACGCTTCAACACTCCATTTAGTCGATTAAGTCCGGTAGGATAACAGATGGAACACATCGAAAGGGAAAAGGGTATAATTACGGACTGTTGGATCAATTCATGTTTTTGTCATTGAGTAAAATACTGAGAGCATTACATACTGACAGTTTGGACCATTCGATATAATAAATGGGCTGTAGCTGTACCATTCAAATTCCTCATTGTGTGTCCCAACTGATAAATGGAATTTTAAAGGGTGCCTAAGGTCGCCATTTAAATCATACCGATAAAAATATTATTATTGATTGCTTCTTTAAAATAAATCACCATGTAGCTTTGCGGATGCGAGAAACCAGGTACTATGTCTACATGGCTATCACAGATAGCTGGATGCAAATTGGGCAGGCTACAGGTATAGTTGAGTAATGTCACAAATGTGTAAAGTTTCGAGAATCTCATGACTGTAATATTGCAAACTCACCTGGGCAAATTTTAACTGTCCGAATTATGAACCACCGCATTGATTTTACCTTGAAAATAAAGGTTATTTTATTTTGACAATAGATTCATACAACACTATTGATTGACACAACTACGGAGATATAGGTTGGAAATTAGCAATCGAGAATATTCAAAGCAGTATTTGGCTAGAAAATAATATCATGATCATAATATTTTCTTATTTATTGGATTTCGATGTTCCATAAATAATTAATTATGAAAATAATGTACTAAGTGTCAGATACTTGTTATTATTAGTAGTAGTAATACAGTCTACAAGAAGAGGTGACAACTGCCAGACATCGACATTTCGCTAAAGCTTGATACATTTGTGGCTTCTACGCCGCAAATGCAGAAAAGGTCCTATGCCTTCGGCTAACACTCAATGACAGGAACTGGACAGAGCCCTAGAAGCAACGCTGTATATGCTTGGTTTTGGTCACAGAGATGGAAAGAAAACGGATTCATTTCAATATACGCAACAGAAAAGAGTCGATATAGTTGAAAACATAATTTTCGCAACTGTTCCATAATGCCTCATTTGGAACTTAATATCGTATATATGGTTGACATGGTGAAATACAATTATCCTGCATTTTTCACTGTAGGAACCACCAGCTAAATAATTTTGTGACACCAAAACTTCGATGCAATTAATTCCTGTATTTTTATTATTTCCGTTGAGCCACTATCACCGATGCCTATATAGCAAAAATTTCTCGATGACACTTTTCAAAAATACCTTCCTTTATACATATTTTTTAATGCAGTTCACAGAACGTTTTCTCCTCAACTTATAACTAATTATTGATCATTCATTTGAAGGTAACTGATGGTGCAGATTTGGTTTTGTCTGGCAACCCAGATAAAGATGGCGGGATCAGCCTTGGTCTATCTCTGAGGCCAGTAAAGGACGTCGAAGAAAGCCGTAAGAAGAAGGGAGGCCAAGGAGGTATGCAAGCTATCATGGCTGCAGCTATCATGAAGATTGGTCTGCTCAAAGCACTCGCTTTCAAAGCTCTCGTAATGCTCGTAGGAAAGGCACTCTTGGTCAGCAAGGTAAGTCTAGTTAAATCTTGAAATAGAAGCTGGTTTGTACTCCTATTTTCTGTTGCTTAATGAAGATAAGGATCTATTGACGACTCGTTCTTTTACTTCGGGATAAGTAAAACTTGAGGGCTTGACTCAAGCTTAGGGTTCTTTACACCTCCCTTTAATTTTCACTGTCTATAAATTAATTCGAGTATTGTTAAATGAAAGACAATCGGCTATACCTCTCGCGATTGGTGCATATTCAAAAAAATTCAAATTCAAATTCAAAATTCTGTGCTGTGCTTGTTATCTTGGGAATCATAAGATCCATTAAAAATTAATCACGCAGAGGCAGTTTTGAAATTTTTCTAGTGGATCATTGCCCGAGAGCAAGCAGCTGATAGTATACTTGTGCCCAATATTTCGTACACATTGAAGTACCACGTATTTTTAGACTAAATAAGTCTATTGGACATGATTTTCATCAATGCAAAAGTGCTTCGTTTGTCCGTTCTAAAATGACATTTTTTATGATATGCTTAGAACAGTCCGATTTGAATGACATTTGGAACACGTATGATTTGTTAAACGTCCTGATATTTGACTTCTGCGAAAGACTTTAAAGGATTCGAGAAGGGTGAGAACTAGCCCCACCGCTACATAAATTGTAGCAGAATTTTTAGGCTATTTACCCAACGACGGTGATTTTTATATTTAGCAACTCTTTGTATTTACTTCATTTTTTGTCTCTTATTAGAATAAGCCATATCGGACAGTTATCGGAAAAAAATAGTTGCATCAAGGGGTTCCTAAGCGTCTTATTACTTCTTTTAGGTGTGGTCAGCGACAATAAAGGAGTATACTACTTTTTACAATTTTATTTAATACAGGCAATAGTGTGAATATTTCATAACAGGTGGTCAAAATGACCATAATTAGAAGCTGGCTTAGCTGCGGGATGTCGCTACTTTTCATAGACCGTACACTTTTGTTTAATACGTACGTTATATATGTTGCTTAAAGTTAGCGAATGTGGATGCGAACATAAAATACGCACGTGGCGAACTCAACTTCAACAGCAATCTGGCAAATGGCGGTCTGTACGTCGTCATAATGATCACAACTGCTATGATGTATGCAGCAGACGCATTATTGGGACACTAAACGGTGATTTCGCGCATCCTTTGTCTGGACGCCCGAGAATGTGCAAATTGATTTCCGGCCATTTGGGTCCTGAACCGAGAATAAAGGATGAGAATATGCAGAGCGCTCAGCAGAACTTAAACTATTAATAATAGTCATACGACTTGGTTTTGCTTTTGCTGGTCAATAGCTACGTGCGCAGAGAAACATATTTAGGTCACAGGAGTCGCAACATTCCAGCAAGTCATGAAACTGTAATGGTGGAGTACATTTTTTTTGTTACCTTTCAGCTGACATGTCTGTAACTAAGTATTTCTATGTATCTTGGACCATGAATATTACATTATCACTATGCAGGGTGTTGTAAGTTTCTTCCTCTACCAGATAATAAGACTGAACAGAATAAAACCTGAGTATCGTCTTAATACATTAATTAATTTCAAGCTTCAGCGTATTTCCATTGTATACTAAGTGACATATAAATCCGAACACTCAGTTTAAATGGTTTTATTTTAATAAAATTTTGTATAAGTACTTAATGAAGCATAATAAGTAAATGATAAAAATTTCAAAATGATTGCAGTGCTTTAAAGCCCTTTGACCTTTAATAATGTGTGAATGCACCCTGACGCATTCTCCAACGCGCCTAGGCATGCTTCTGATCAGGTGGTCAATGTCCTCCTGTGGTATCTCATTCCAGGCAACCACAAACTCCTCTCGAAGTGCTTCTAGAGTCTGAGGAGGACGTTGCAAATTGAGCAATCTCCTACCCATCATATCCCACACGTGCTCAATTGGGGATAAGTCGGGAGATCTTGGTGGCCATGGTAACAATGTGACATCATTATGTTGAAAGAAGTCTATTGTGACTCTTGCAACATGTGGTCGGGCATTATCTTGTTGGAAAGTTGGATCTGCCAGGGTGTGAAGATAGGGTAAAAGATGGGGTTCTAGAACTTCGTGGATATAACGCTGCGCGTTCATGTTACCTCTGATGAAGATTAAAGGTGACCTGGAACCATAAGCTATAGCACCCCAAACCATAACTCCAACAGTGTGATGAACATGTCTTTCAACAAAAAACTGAGGATTCCTCCTTTCACCACGTCGCCTTCTAACCCTGGCACGACCATCGTGCATGCCTAAACAAAATCGAGATTCATCACTAAAGACAATACTGTTCCATTCCTGATCCTAGAGTGACCGTTGTCTGCACCACTCAAGGCGATTACGTCGGTATTCTCGAGTTAAAGGGAGGACCCAGTGTGGCCGGTATGAAAACAAGCCAAAACTTCTCATTCGTCGGTAAACCCTTCGCATGGCAATAGGTCTTCCGTGTTCTGCAAACCATTCATTTGCAATGGACCTGGTAGTGGAGAAACGCTCGCTTAACGCCAATAATCTTAGGCGGCGATCTTCACGGTCTGTTGTTCTACGGCGGCGTCCAGTGCCCCTTGCTCTTTGCGTACGGCCTTCTCGAAGCCATGCCTGACAACACCTAACCACAGTGTCTACACTTCTTTGCACTCTAATAACTGCAATTGCCCGAAAAGAAAGTCCAGCTTCCCGAAGTCCCACTATACGGCCCCTATCAAACTCACTAAGTTGACGAAATCGTACAGGTCTCCGTACTCTAGGCATCGTAACCGATCGTAAACGATGTCAAGAACCAAAATCCGCCAACGTTGATTCTTTACTGCGGCTGAAATATTCATTTTTAGAGCGTTAGTGAATTAAAAAAAGCAGTATAAAAACCGGAATGTCCAACTGATAAGGCTGAAATTTTTTTCACTTGTTATTTACAGTAAGATAAATACATTCACCAACTTTTATTAAAATAAAACCATTTAAACTGGGTGTTCGGATTTATATGTCACTTAGTATAGTTCCCTTTTATAGGATATCACCACAAGTATTCAAACCAAATTTTCTCTAAAAGGGATAGTCTGACCATAATCTTCCAATAGAGACAAGTAAAAGTTAATAAGTTATGCAAAAATGCATTATGTTCGTTAAAAATCAGGCAATGGCGCTCAGTATAAACTAATTTTCCCTTTTATGAGACTCAAAATCTTACACTTTCTATACCACTGCACTAGTCTAATTTCACAAACAAAAATGTTTTGCTTTCATTGGCTACGAAGCTAGTATTATACTCACACCCCATGAAGTTAATTTATCTTATTCCACACCGAAGAATTTTTTTTTTTTCGTTTTCGAAAGTACAACTCTTATTTGTATCTTGATAAGGGGATATTTTATGACCCATGTTAATATGAAATTCAAGTGTTATTTTACTATACTTCTCGTCCTATAGCTATTGTTACTATTTTTTGTACTACCCTGCATAAATCCTACGAAAAATGTGGGGATCATCTTGTCGTATAGATCTTGACCTATATACTGTTCACAAAATCGCAAAGGATTCTTTTTTGTAGACTCTCGAGCCCTTGTCATTTTAAGAGCAAATTTATATAGCTATACGATAAAATAGATCTTTGACTAGAAGGTAGCAGCCTGTATGTTTCTCCATGTAAACTTGTAGAGTAGAGAAGGGATTATACTTTTTTTTTGACTAGCAAGTATCTAGGGGCACTACGTTACAAAAGTGAAATCTATATATTTGTTTGTCCTTCTGTAGCGCTCGTGAAAGAGCGGCTAGGACAGTGAAATTTATTTGTTGGTAAACATAATACCGATTACCGATAAATTGCGCTGAAACCATTTTTGAGAAGTGCACTGATCATTGAAACTTTGCTACAAACCCTGCTCGTACATCAGTACTTTGATTTAGATTAGTTTAAGCTGACAAAAGATTGTGACCTATTTTCTCTGTCCCCATATCCACTACCGCACCATATAAATGTATGCAGTTTCGTGCCACATGTGGTAAAATTAATATTTTAGGTTCGGGAAACTATAGTTAAAAGCATCGAAAAGCTACATAAGCAGTTGGAAACCTGTTAATTACGGCTCTCAATGATGCAGACTAGAGTCAAATGCCGTTTGGTTCGCTGTTAACAACTACACCGATACATCCTAAAAGCCATAAAAAAGGGAAAGAAACATCTTGCCAAGAAAAACCCTCTTAATTTATGATCTCTAGTGATGCAGGTGTATCACAAGTGTATGCAACAAACGTTGCAGTAAACGGCGTGGAAAGTATGTGACGTCATAACTAAAAGTAAAACAAGTTGTACTTGTATACCTATAAGACACGAACGAACGTATATGCAACACACATAACTTTGAAGTGCATCTCCTGTGGCATTTTGGACTGTGTAAGCGGAATTAAGAAGAAAGTTTTCAGTGAAAGCCTGACAGTCTAGATACCTACTTTCCATCGCATGGTTGATCTCTGTACGATATGCAGGATCTTATGCTGCGAGATTGAAGTGATACAGTCCCTTGTGTTAGCAGAATATGAAATAATTCAATATTGTCTGCTGAATTAGCTACACTTAGGTCCCTCCCGAAATCATAAAAGCTTTTCTAAATTTATCATCATGATAGGATCAGCAGATGTTGTTGACTAACAATTATAAAACGATTTACGATAACAATACCCCTAAAATGCTTTGGAGTTTGTTTAATTGTTTGAAGGTTATTTAGACAACATCAAAATTGTCGTCTAAACAGTTTTTGTACAGAACGTCCTAGCAAACCTCAAAGCACTATGACTGGAGTCAGTTTTTTTTTTATTTTTTACGCGATTTTGGGCCTGGTAAGATAAAGAATGGTTGGAGCGGTCCCTTCCGGATAATATTAGACAAAAGATCCAAATCAGAGTATATTTTCTGAACAATTGACCTTAGTTAACAAACGAACCTTTTTTGGGCAGTGTAAACCTGGCGCTACAAGAAATTTACATAGTGGCCTGAGCTTCATGTGCTAGGCCTTTGTGTAACCTAAGTATATTGACATCTGCTCGGAAAAATAATCTCATTTTATTTTTCTAGTATGATCTTATTAACGAAAATGCATCTTACAAGGCCTGAAAAGATCTAAAATTGCACAAAATATTGTAAATGTAAGTTAATGTGCACTGCGACGTGCAATGTATAAATGTTCAGAATTTAGCTGAAGATTGGCTCGAGTTCAAATGAAATGCTGCAACAGCCGTTCTACTCTCCTTCGGAATGATGGAATCGGATACTAAGAGCGCTCATTTTTCTGTCATGCTTCTACGGTAATTTACAGCAAGCACTTTTCACGCTGAATTAGGAAAAAAATTCGTCCATCACTCAGATAGGCGCGTTATGCCCGACCACAATGTGAAGTATACGTATCATCCTGTCTGGTTGAATATTTCCTTTATATTTCCCTGATGGGAAAATTTCTGAAAAGAAAACTTCGGGGAGATAACGCTATGTATTTGAGGGATGGAAAAAATTCACAACCTCAGAGGTATTCTTCATCCGTTATCAGGACAGCCAGACTTATTGCAAACTTCAACGTATTCTAACAGAAAAGACGCAATTGTAGCAGGTAGTTGATTTTTTGTCACCGCAAAGCAAACTTTTGTACAATAGGCGGCGTTAATATTATTCTGAAGGAACAAACACTTCCTCGGTTTTTCAGCCAATAAAAGATGCTAGTGGGGCGTAGTGGATAAACCTTGATAACAGCTGCTAAATATTCAAGATTCCTCGAAAAAAACTTACTTAGGAAGCAGCATTAGTCACAGTACAGCAGGACACAATATCTGCAGCCGTGTCTTGTTGCTTACACAAGTTGAAACTGTACAGGGTGGTTGAGAGAAAAATGGCAACATATTTAAAAAAAGTCAGTTACTCAGGCACGAATACTTTTCTCTGTATTGGATATGCTGCTATTGCTACACTAACAAAACTTTACGTCAATATCTAAATACACTCCAAAGTTACATAGTTTTTTCGATTTCAAAGCTAAGACTCCAGTACCCTGTATCTGGGTCTAGTCCAGCAATATTGTCATGATTTTTTAAGTCGCCTACACATGGTACAACTATCCCAAAACTACTGCTTTCTGACCTGCCTGTCATTTTGTTGGAATACTTTTTGTATGATACTTGAAGCTACGACAAAATTAATGGATATGTATTTTTCATAGAGAAAATTCTGAATATCAACCGCAAAATGGCTAAGCAAGTCTCAGTAGTTGTAGTACGAGTATTTTGATCCCTTTGTGTTTTTCGCTATATCTGGTCAATCAATAAGGTCACATGCTAAAGAAATAGTTTTCAGTAGTTACACATCCCTCTAATAGTAACACGACGTTAGAATACCATATTCATAGATTTTCTCCATCAGTATATTTTAAAGAAACATGGGTTTCTTAGGATTTATAAAATCTAATTTCTCCTAGCTGCCGTATCCTCGTACAGTACTTGTTTCTTCCGTATATGTGAAAAAAGGTCTATTTGATGAGCTAATAAGTCCAGCAGTAGGACTGGGCACCCTTTTTCCCGAACAACCCACTTATGTGATCAAGTATGATACATGAAAGCTTTGCTTTGCCTACGCCGAAGTTCATCTTGAAGTTTTGAAGCCGACCTGTTCTTATAAGCTCTCAACGGATTAATATGGCGTGCTAAGGGGCAAAAACTCTTTAATCACGATTCATAATGAGCAAGTTAATAATGAAGCTGAGGTATAGAAAATGCCAGATACTTTTTGGGCGAGCTTACAAGTATATCAGCGACCTTTTCATCGAACTCCAGTAGATCAGATAACCCTGAAGTTATCAATTGCGGTGAAGGTAATTGTTTTAAAAAGTGGAAAAATCATATAAGCAGGGCTAAAAACCTTGTCAACCTGTAAATTAAAGCTGCTTTGAGAGCAATACAAACAAAAAAGTAGTAATCCTGGCTATTTTTTCTAAATAGCTATATTTATTGCAAAACCCGATAGGTGAATCTTTTGCATTCCATCTTTAGGTCAGACACTATTCGAGGGTAATACTCCAGCTAAAGGACTTGAAAAGGGGCCGAGTTCTAGGTTCGGAGGCCATCGGTGACATGACAGCTTAGTTGCTCTAATTTTCTCTGGTTGATTTTTGGCATATGTAGCATGCGTCTCAAACGGCAAGAATGCATGCAGACCTTATATTCCCTAAATGTTGGTCATTCCTATCATATATTATAAATAACCGTTCCCAATATTTGCAGTTGGCGTTGGTATTAGCAGCCATCATCGGGCTGAAAAAGTTGTTCCACCAGGAGAAGCACGTGACATACGAAGTAGTTGCTCACCCACACCATGAACATCACGAGGCTCACCACGTTGAACACGCTGGCCACTCTGGAGGCGGTTTCGATGGAGGTCACGGAGGATGGGGCAGGAACTTCGACAGCCAGGCAGCTCAAGACCTGGCCTACAGTGCTCACATTCCTTCCAACTAAAGTGTGATTTTTCGCAGAAGCCATATTGGTCTCGACGATTTTATTTAATAATTTATTGTATTTATTTTCTGAGTGTTTGTTTTGTTAAATAAAAAGAAATTTTCTTGTTACCAACGATGATATTTTATTTTAGTCAGTGCGCAAGTCTTGCCACCGTCCACCCGTCTGATCTCTAGACACAAAGTTATACTTGTGGTGAACCTCTTAACATATTGCTTTGTCAAAAACGGATGTTTTCACAAATTTATTTGATATACGACAGTTATTAGAATTTGTAACCATTCCCCAGGAAGCATTCTACTCTACTGCCCTTTAAGATTGACCCCCTGAGTGGAAAGATGGTACGCCCAAGAATAGTCGAACCAATCGAGTAAGTAGAAGAATCGTTTTCAATGTTTATCTCTACAAAAATAGAAACGCGCCCAGATCTACCGTAGTTGCTCACCGGTTCAGATTTGTGCTTGATAAGGAAGGTAGAAGGTTGTGGTAGCTCAGGTGAGTGAAATCGTCGGTACATGTACGAGTATATTGTATCACAATAAAACGTATCACTTAATACTCTCTAGACGATAGACTAAGGTGGTGCTGACAGTCTGACTGGATACTATAATTCAGTTGCAATTGTATAGATCATTATTCCTTTTCAAAGCACAGAGTCCGAAGTACGTCAAATGACATGTCAAATGATTATTAAAACATGAGTTTAACGCCTATTCAGCCAACCTAAGGTGATATGCTGAACAGCAGAGATGCGTTTCTAAATTTCCTGTAATGTAATAGAAAACTCAGTAATGTAATGTAGATTGACAGATGAAATTTTACTATGGAATACTGTGAAACTTTATTTTTGGAAAGCCTAAATTATTGCAGAGCCATGTAATGATAGACGATGTCAACCATCTCATTTATCACCGGTTTTTAGCGGTCATTGTATTTATTATGAGAAACGCTATTGATACGAGGTAGCCCACTTGTTGAAAATATGCATTCAGCTAATTTTGAGTACTTTTTGATAATCAAACATAGTCGACAAACAATGACCCTGATAATGACAGGCGACAACACTCTTATTCCCAAGGTTTTGAGCTGGGAAACAGAAACACACTTTCGACGTTCGAGAGGAATAATTACTCTCTTCTATTTCAGAACGCATGGAGCAAGGGGCGTCAAACAATTACGAATGCTAAAATTGTTATAGAGGAGTAAAAGATACACTCTATAACAGATTTAGAACACATCCAGTAGTTGTAGAATAGCTTTGACCGTTTTTAGCATCAGCCAACATACCATCAAGCCTGACAGCCAAGTAAGAACTGCTGTCAAACTGACAAAGCTATCACTTGCTTACTGTTATTCAGCTTAAAAGTGCTGCCCCTCTTTAACGGTCCCAATAATAGGTTTTATTTGCGAACTTTGCTTGTCAGGTACATTCGAAATGTACGGCTTCCACAAAACTATGAAATGATCTTTTGTGTACCTTCTTTAGCAGTTTTGGAATAGTAAAAGCATCCGTTTGATACTTCCTACTTGCTTAGAAACCGTTCAGGATATTTAGTCAAGGGTGCACAATTAGCACGTCTCACGCGAGGATGTATTGTAGTAGTCATTATCGCTATAGGTCTGTTGGTCAGCCTGGCCATTGATCCTTGATCCTGTAGAACAAGCAAACCACTACGATTTTGATGAACTTTTGACATACAGACGCAAAAGCTTTGGTTTTTCTAGTTCGACTCAGTTGAAGCAAATCTACGGAAAGCAAAGGGAAAAAAATGCCCAAATAAGGCTTCTGAGTGTGACGAGCTGTAAATCTCTGCTATCAGTCACAGAGGCTATACTATCACAAAGATTCTGATCCCGCACGTGTATTATATAGAAAACCTATAAAACGTCAAAAATAACTTTAAGATTTCCTCTTGCAGACTAAGTAGTTTCTAGGGTGCAAACAGTCATTCCTCGTTTGCTCACTAGGACCGTTTTGAGCATCCATCTATTGAGGAATCGCTCAACTTATCTGATTGAATAGCAAGATCTCATCTGGATGATTGTGTGCGTCGGTGTATATGTGTAAAACCAGTGATACTTGATGTGTGAGAAAATCAACACTGAATGAAGTATATCTATTAGCTGCACCGGACGGGTTAATTATATTTATGTCCTTTCAGAAGACAAAGTTATCAATTACGACTTCTTAGGTTTTTTTTGTTTTCAAAAACTTTATGAAGAATTACGAGAAAACAACAACGAGCCCGCGTTGTGTGTAGTTAATATTGGCATGTATAGTCAACGCCAAACAAAGTGGCGTGCACGTCATCACGATAAAAATTCCCCGACCTAATGCCTAGGTTTCTATCACAAACAATTGCTCTATTGCAGTTTCATATTAATGTGATATATAAATTGTAAAATGGTCATTACTCTCTTATTATGGTTAATAGTCATATAAACATTGTTATTAAAATATCACATAAGTTGCTTTCTGATAAATTTAGACGCATTATGCGAAATAAAATGTTTTGCAAACGCCCCAATCACTTATCGACATGTAAACGCACTAAACCGATTTCGCAGCGTTGACACATTGTCACCTTGAAACTTATTTAAACTGGGAACTGACATTTGTATTAATTTTGACACTGAATCAATTTGTGGCATTTCAAATCTTTATGAATCCTTTGGCCCCGCATACTGTAAATCAACAACTGTTTGTTTCAAAACAAAATTATTCATTTTACGAGTAGATAAAGGCAATTTTGGTATATAAAGATGCCCAAACAGTTAAATAGTCGGTGTAAGGAACTCGTGGCCTCGTTAATGCACTACTTTGAGCAAGAAAGGGACAACAACGGGCCTTTGTTGCCTTTAAATGCTGTTCAAGAGGTAGGTTACTAATAATTATATGTAATGTATATTAATAATAGTGAAATTTTATTTCATTTTTTGTAGCGTGTTGCTGCTGCTTTAAAAATTAGTTTAAGGACAGTTAGTCGTATTTCCGAGGGTGTGAAAAATGATGCAAATTTAGAATCGCCCAAGAAAAAGCGGAGTTATATTAAACGTGTAACCAACACAGCGACATTGGATACAAGTGCCATTCGAGAAGTGATCTATAATATGTATCACAAAAGTAAGATCTTATTATAATAACTTATCAGAAATTTGCATTAATTTGTTAACTAAATTATAATGTCATATTACACATGGTTTCAGAAGAACAAGTTACGATACAAACTTTATGGTCTCGATTAAGAGATAGGGCATTATTTGATGGTAGTGCCACGTCTTTAAGGCGGTTGCTTAGAGATCTTGGATTTAAGTGGCTTAAGGACAATCCGCGACGAGGGCTCATGGAACTACCAAGTATAGCTTTGAAAAGGGTGGAATTTCTAAGGCAATACAATCAAGCCAAGGTTGAGGCCTTATACCAGTTTGTCTTCCTCGATGAAACTTGGATATTTCAAAATGGGACCATAGGTCGCTCTTGGCAAATGGAAACCAAAAAAGCGTGAAAGCTATTAAAACAGATGGTAAAAGGTATGTACTTTTACACAATTTGCACTATAAAATTTAAAACTAATATATTTTAGATACATTATATTACATGCTGGAAATGAAAATGGGTTTATTGAGGGTAGTGAAGCGATATTTTCTTCGAAAACAAAATTGAGCGATTACCATGGAGAGATGAACCAGGACAATTTTTTGAAATGGTTTCAACATCAGTTATTAGAAAAATTGGAGAGTCCATCTATGATTATACTGGATAACGCCCCTTATCACAGCATGATATTGAACAAAGTGCCCAACAATGCATGGACAAAAAAAAATATCCAAGACTGGTTGACAAATCAAAACATACCATTTTTAAACACAATGTTTAAAACAGAGCTATTGAGTATTGTTGCTCGGTACATAATGCTTCTTAATTATATATATTTTGGTCGACAGTTTATATTTCTTTTGTTTATTCCTATTCTTAATATAACTGCTTTTTTAGAAACAAACCACCTAAAATATACGTGATTGATGAATTGGCGGAACAACATGGGCACAAAGTTCTTCGTCTGCCTCCTTACCATTGTATATTTAACCCTATTGAGTTAATTTGGGGCATAGCAAAAGGTTACTATAACAGACATATTGGTAGAGATGGTAACAGTGAAAAAGACTGTTTGGATATGTGGAACGAGGCTCTACAAACGGTTACCCCAGACATGTGGAAAAATAGTGTTCGACATACTGAGCAAGAAATTTTTAAATGGTATGAAAGAGAACGAATTTTTGATCGACCAGACATCGAACCTTTAATAATCAACTTTGAGAGTGATGAAGATTCAGATTCAGACAGCGCTGAAGAAAGAAACTCCGACTAACTTTATTGTACAGAAAAAGCTTACACCAGTAGCTTACCTAATTTTAGAATGCATTTTTCTGTATGAATTCTGTAAAATAAATACCATGCATAAAATTTGGAGGACCCCATTTGGATTTTTATTCAGTACCTTTAAGCTATCAATTAAATATGGTAGTTTCATAGTGTCATCTGATCAATAATTGTCATACTTAATGATTATGCAAGTACAGATCTATAATTTTATTATACTATTATTTTTGTTCTCATTTGAGGTTAATATTGCTTATAAACCTAGATATGTAAATAATAAATTTTATTATTTTACAAAAAGTTTGGCAACAATGTAAATTTTTCAACACACCCACCTTGATGACGTGCACGCCACTTTGTTTGGCGTTGACTATATAGTATACGACTTGTAATTCGACAGTGTACAGTGAATATAGCCACTCCTTATCTCTCTTATATTTGAAATTCAGCAAATTAGCACATGTAATTTCCAGAATGGATAAGAACAAGTGGATGCGCAACTAATTTCTAGCTTCGAATCTCAAGACTCAAGACAAAATTCCATCGGAATCATCACCAACACATATTATTAGCACACAAATCCTTACTCCAGTACTCCAGTAATGCCATCTCTGAAGCAGATTTTACATCACATCATAGCCAAACATTGATAACTGAAGCATCATGACGTTTAGGCAACACGTACAGCTACAAAACGAGTTTACAAAACTGTCCATCAGCGAGTGCTAAGTTA